ACCCCAATCCCCTTGACACTGCACGTGTGCTTTAACTTCTCTACCATGTGGTTTTGGATTTTGGAAAAGGAGGAGGAGAGAATGGTGCTAATGTAACTCCTAGCAATTTCAGATGGCAATTCTGAAGTTGCACAACTCAAGAAACTCGTTAGTTTAATAAACTTTAATTACACAGTTGTTTCCTCTGATGGCTTATTGGGATTATAGAAATACATGCAATAGTAATATTGCACATAGCCAATGTTCCACAAACAGCCATGAAGTGAATGAGCAATTTCATCTTAGAGATTGTTGGCCAGGACACCAGGAGAAACTCTTCTCTTTTCGAATCGTGAGAATGTGTAATAATAATAATAATAATCCTTGCATTTGATATAGCGCTTTTCACGTCGGGAGGACGTCCCAAAGCGCTTCACAGAATAGACTGTAAAGTGAATTGACTGTATATTTGTGGGCGAACGCGGCAGCCAATTGCGCACAGCAATGTCCCACAAACAGTCGTAGATTGAAAATGACCAATTTATTATTGTTTTGTTTTGGAGGGATTATTATTAGGCTCTGTGTGGAGTAAGGAAACTTGCCCAAGGTTTCGCCCTCTGCCTGGAATTGAACTCAGGTCTCTCACTTGCAAAGCGAGTGCTCTAACCACTGAGCTACAGGACTCCACAGTGTAATCTCTGCTGGATGGTTGTTGTTCCTGCTTACTTTGTTTGAAAGTTAGGAAAGTGTTCTCTATCTTTCAATTTAAGTTTATAAAATAATGGGCTGGTTTGCGGATTGACAGCTTGTCAATTGCGGATTGGATCGGAGCCTATTTGATTCATATTCTTAACGCTTCTTTTGTGGTTTCTTTCTTTTCAAAAAAATGTAGGCCCGTCACTGTTTTGATCAGACGTTGGATCCTTTTTGAAAATTGTAATGCTCGGAAGCATCCATGTGTCCCATCACTGCCGTCTAAGCATTGAAGTGTCACACCTACTACTTTTTAAAAAAAAAACTCTTCATTGAATTCACCAAACGTGAGAAGTTCCTTCCTCTCAATGGTCCCTATTGCAGTGGACATACTGGGGAACCAGTGGTACATTTCAAAGTGTTTCTGCAGATCATCTGTCTCACTCCTGTAATTTAATAACATCAGGTCTTCTCTGGATTATGCCCTCTGTGTAAGGAATGAAGTGAATGATTCAAATGCAAGGATTATTATAAGTGACAGTTACAGATTGACTCTTTAACAAATTGACCCATTGGAATTACTAATGGAATGGGGAAAAGTTGGAGATCTCCACACAAAACACATTGTTAACCACATTGTTGTGTGGGAACAAAATGTCGCACCAATCATACTCTTCTCTGTGCCAATTGTGTATGACTGATTCTTTAGCAATATTTAGAAACTAGATATGCCTGCCCCCATTTAAAAGATTCCCTAAGACTGAGGAATAAAAGATCAGTGAGCGATTAATACATAGTGAAAGAAATCCAGTAATAGTGACCTTAATTTAGTCGGTTTTGCGCATTTTCAAAACTCAGATGCTAAACTTTTACAATGGGAGCTTAGTTTCAAATTGGTCAGATGAGCTGACGTCAATTGCTCCCCCCCCCCACAACCACAAACCCACAGCAACATATTCCTCCATTGCCTCGCCCGTTGTACCTCTATGACCTCCTACAAGCACACCACTCTGGCTGCTCTTCCAGTTAGTCTTCATGTACCCCAGCTGGGGTGACTGCCTTGTCGGAGTTCGCCTACAAAATAGTTACTAGACTTTACGGTGTATTTTGTGAAGTGCTTTGAGATGTCTCCTGATGTGAAAAATATTGTATGTAAGGATTACTAGTATGTTGTGACTCCTAGCTGTGATGTTATAGTACAGGTAAATGTTTAATTCTTTCAAAGTCCAGTACTTCCTTTTTACCCATTTCTAAATATTTTTCAGCAATTGAAGGGACGTCTGTTCTCCCCCCAAAAAAGAAACTGCTTATTCACCTCCAGGCTGTTTATTTGTGGGAATGGATTGCTATGTTTGCCTACACAAACTGTCACTACACTTAATAGTCATTACTGTAGAGATGCTTTGACCTTATAGGTGCAATATGAATTGAGAGGATTATATTCTTATTAACCAGGGTAATTCTGAAGCACAATAATCTGGATTTGAACAAATGTTACCAAGATTCAAACCCTTAAATTTATTCCAAAGAAAATTGGGAATCAGTGATATGGATATGGTTTAAATATGTAGCAGTGTGTATACCTGCTAGCGACCAAATCAATTACAATCACATGATTGCAAGCAGTATCAATCGGGTAAAGTGGGACTGATGTCTAGATTAATAAAACGTCTGGGCCAAAATGCTGTGACATCAATGTGTGGACCTAAAACAGTACAACAACTTGCATTTATATAGCACCCTTCATGCGGGTCAGTGTTGCAGATTGTACCAGTAGCAAAAATGTGTCTGATAGTTGGGATACTCAGCAACAAAAGTGAAAAAATATTTATTAATTTTGCTCATCTGGTAGTGTTACGCTTTGCTCATGTGGAAATACAGCCTCTTTGTGTTAATCTGAAGGCCATTTTTTCAGGTGTATCCCAGTGACAGGTGGCGCTGGAGAGGTGTCTGTCTTAACTTTGAACGCCTGAGCTTCAGTGGCACATGTTGTGCCATTAAACCGTCAGTGGGTTCACAACCCAAATCCTTGCCGACCAACCAAATTCCTCTTTCACCACCTCCTCCTCCACCCCCCCCCCCCACCAAAAAAAGAAGCAGAGTAGGGATTCAAAGAGGGAAGTTTAAAAAAAATCCCATGTCTTGATAATAATAATAATCCTTGCATTTGATGTAACACTTTATCACGCCTTTCAGACATCTCAAAGCGCGTCATAGAATATACTTATCAAAGTGAATTGATGAGTAGGGAGCAGAACTGAAGAGTTACTGCAAAGAGAGTGACTACTCCAAGCACAGTATTGCTATATCACTTTGCACACTGTGAGAAAAATATTCTCCCCATTAAACAAAATGCATTGTTCTAGTTTCCGTGTGCTCAGCCCAGCACACGATGTTTCTCTGGTTGATATCTACGATGTATATTGTCTGCGGCAATGAGCATGTATCTTCCTCTGTTTTATGTACAGACCTCCCGAATACATATTCTCTTATTGAACTTGAGGTCTTAAAATGTTGACGAGAGGAGTTTTTACACAGTAGTTGTCAAATGTGGTCGCTATTGTAGGACATTGGCAATCTGGTAGCTAAAGTGAGTATGAGAGTAAATCTTTTGCTACAGTCTGATCTTACTAGGATCAGTTGTTTTTAAGGTCAAGTCAAGTGAGAATAGATAGTTCCTTACAGCTTCAAACCCAGCAATTCACAAGATGTCGTAAATTCATATTTGCTGTCTAGTGACTGAAACATTCATTTTTAAAGCATCTTTTTGTTTCAACTCAACATGAGAGGAAGATAACAACAACTTGCATTTACACAGCGCCCTTCACGGGGGTAGCATCTCGGAGAGCTTAACGGCTCTGACCTGAATTTCTGCGAAGTTCCTGTTTGGTACTAGAAGTTGGGAAAGGAATCCTGTTCATGCTTGCTTATTATGCGGCTTCGTTTATTAGCAGGTAGACTCTGACATTTACGTAGCAAAAGATCTAAAATGTGTGCAGAAAGCTGGCCTTGAACGCTGGCTCACTTTGTGTGCGCTAGAAAATGGCAGACCACTGGGTCATTAACTCATATGCTCGCTGCCAATGTCCTTTCCTGCATATCGTGGTGACTGATAACCTAAAAGTCGGATACTTTCATTATTAAGGAAAGCTTTCTGCGCTAAAGCACCCGCTTTAACGCTGTTAGAAATTTAATCGCTACTACTGTTATAATAGAACTAGACTGTGTTATGACATTGTCAGTCTGTGTTCCAATTCACTTCGTAAATTGAAAACTAATATGATTCTATGTGAAGGGTGCTTCGTCTGAGATGGTATTGGGTAATAAGTTGTGACTAGAAGCTCTTTTTGACTAGGATGGTGGTGAGGATACTACAGATCTCTGCCAGGAGTGCTTAAGGAAATAGAATTTTCTTTCTTTGGAAAGGAAGATTTGATTACTGAAGAGGAATAATTCTAAGTGCTTTTCAGAAATGGGAATCCTACCATTCAGGTAAATTCAAGAGATATTCTTGATTTGGATTCAAGTAAAGAACCCTCATATGATTTGGGGAGAGGTGAATATAAGTTAACCTGTAATATGGTTAACATTTGAAAATGACTTGCATCTACTGCAGTGAATGAGGATTTGGTTGAAGTATTGAACCAAAGAATAAGGTGAACATCAGAAATAGTGGTGATGGTGGGAATCTAACTTGGTTCCAGTACGTAGTATATTGTTGTATGAAAATGGTTCTATTCAAGGAATTTGCTTAATTAGAAACTGGATGCAGGACTCAAATCTTGATGTCTCGATAGTCTTAAGAGCCTTCAAAATATGAATTTTAATGTGTGTTTTCTCAATAACCTGAGAGATTACAAAATGGAGAAATGGCCTCAAGTGAAAGTACAACAGGTATGAACAATTAGTACAAATGGATGGATTTCTCTTGTACTTACCCAACAGTTTTTGCCTAGGCTAAGCTGCAAAAGGTGCCTTTGCTACACCAATGATACCTTTCTGTTGTCCTCGTCAATTTATGCCTTCAGTCCTAGAATGACTAACGGTTTACTGTACAATACCATCATTCAGCACAAGTTTTGTGATTCCTCTGTAGTCTGAGATTGTGAACAGTTGACTTTAACAGACATAAAGAGAGAGAGGGTAGGGTGGGAGAGGGGCTGTTCAGATTTACCTATAGTGGAACCTTTTTATAACGCACATTTAGTTACTCAAAAAGCACAAATATGGGGGTAACAGGACTTTGTGGACACCCTATAGTTAATGCCTATCCAATGCATGGTTTTATTTATTTGTTTGTTTATTTATTTGTTGTGTCTTTGTTGCAGGTTTCTTCCCAGGCAGCTCCCAAGGATGTGATGCATTCCTTCGGCACAAAATGACACTCATATCACCCTCCATTCTGAAGAAGTACAGCATTCCCTTTGACCGGGTAGGATAATCTCTGCTCTTCATCTGGCCTCATTTGTGTCGGCACCTAATTTATTTTATGGTCTATTTCTTATGTTTCCAAACAAAGAGCTCACACGTTTGTTGCTGTTTTCTGTGCAGTTAACAGCAATTAATTGTGATTGAAATCAATATTGCTGGATTCCCATTATTGGAAGAATGTGATCAGTAGAATGATTTCTACCTACACTTTAATTTTATTATCAGTATTTTCATTCAGAAACGTTTGGTAGCACACTCAACTCTGGGTTACAAGGTTGTGGGTTCAAGCCCCCCATACCCCCAACCAGGGGGGTATGGAGTGTATTAATTTGACACTTGAGAGAGGTGCCATCTTTCAGGTGAGACATTAAATCCAGCTCCCATCTGCTTACTCTTCTGGTTAAAGTGGGCATTGAAGATCCTGTGCAATGTTGAAGAGCGGCAGGACTTCTGGCCATTCTCCCTCCCTCCCCGCCTCCCTCCCCCCCTCCCTCCCTCCCTCCCTCCCTCAAATTTGCCAAAGAAAAATATTGATTATTTAATTGGCACAGATTTGTTGCTGTTTTTACCTGCATAAATCATCACATTTCAAAGTAACTCATTGTGTTGGCTTGAAGGCATTGTATCAATGTAAGTATTAATGCTGTGACTTCCTCCATTGGGAGAGGTGAGGCTTGTTTTGCTGGCCTTTTCCACGTTCATCATTGTATCATTAACGTCATATCTGCAGATATAAGGCACTTTGCATCAGCTGGGTGAAAGATGCGGCAACTATAAGATGCATTTCAATTTGTGGAGGTCTGATCAGGTATCACTAATGTATTGCAGTTCGGAATTCAGAATGGTCAGGTTGATTAACAATTCTCCACCCCAGTGCACACATTTATATCTCTTTGTCAGCCCACCAGCAGTGTGAATACATTATCAAGGTCTGTGCAGTCAAAATCTAAACATTAATTAAAAACATGTGTATAAATTAAAAAACAGCATAGTGAAGAGATACAATTTCCAAATTGCAAGTGTCAACTTCTTTTAAAGGAACTTGTTAAAGTTATCTTAGTAAGCTTGTCTCAACGAACAACTGTAATGGAATAGAGTTGGGCTTATTTGACATACTTCATTCCCATTGCTTTGCGGTGGATGTTAGTAAAGTTTCCCGGATGAGCTCCCAACTACAATCATTTCATCAAATCATTTTCATTGATAGCAAATATTGAGTGGGGGGAAAAAAGCTGTTTCTCACTTAATATTGGACTGAATAATTTTGTGAAGTACCTCTTGATGTGAAAGGACATCTTGATGTGGTTTAACTTCCTCTGTATCTTGCACTGCTTTGCAGTAAAAATGGAGAGGCCAGAGATTTTTACACAAGTTGAAATGTGCAGCTAGTTACCAAAAAAGCCTATTGAAGTTGAGTCAGTGTGGTCATTTTAAGGAGAATTGGATAATTTAACAGTAAAGACATGAAATTCTAAAGTGCCTGGGGATGTCCTCCTGATGTGAAAGGTGCTATATTAATGTAAATTTATATTGTATTGAGATGGTATGGGAAGTGCGAGAAGCAGTGGAATGGGAGTTAGTGGGGCTAATAGACATGATGATTGGTCATTTCTCCTGCTGGAATTTTTACATCCTAAAACCTTAAATTATTTTAATGCCCTACATGGTACTCCTACCTGTCTTTTCTTTATTGAAAACTGGTTCAGCTCTGGCAGTTTGTCTTCAAAACAAAGCCCCGAGTCCTTTTCTCTGAAACACTTCTCTGCCTCTGCTCAACTGGCACCTGCCTCCTGCTCGTCCCCCGCACCCTCCGCCCGACCATTAGATGTTGCGCCTTCAGCCACTGCCCCCCAAAACTATGGAACAGTCTTCCTCAATCCCTCCGCCTTGCCTCCTCTCTCCCTTTTTTCAGATCCTGCCTGAAACCTTCCTCTTCGACTGCGCTTACGGCCGCCCCCCTCCCCCTCGGCTTGGAGTCAGGCTCTGCCACCGTTAAGCGCTCTGAGACACTACCCTGCATGGAGGGTGCTATATTAGTACAAGTTGTTGTTGCAAGTGTTTGGAACCCAGTGATCAAGGCAAGGTTAAAATAACTTCTTTTGACTTGCGTGAAATACCCTTGAGATGTAATCTTGTATTTAATTAGCTTCGTTCAGAACAGCTTCGTATTCACTGTGATCAATAATTGCACTAAAATCCTTTTCACACTCCTCCCTTGCTGGGGGCTGAGTTTTTATCATGTGTATATATCCTGTGCCCTGTTCCAATGTACATTTATCTACAGTACACTCTCTCTACCAATCTTTCATCCGTCTGTTCAATTGGCCCGGACCCTTTAAAATGCTGCTTCTTATTTTTGTCACCTGGCAACGTGGCTTGGTATCAGCAACAGGTTTTTTCCCCCCAACAATAAACAAAGATCTCTCCTCAAAGGCTGTTTCGAACAGCGCAAAATACAGGTCTTAATGTTGTTTTTATATTGCGACCCAGGTACTCGACATGTTGTTGCATTTTGAGCTTTGCTGCGGTTTACCTCATTGCTGCATTTCCGAAACTCTCCTTCGCTTGTGTAAATCACGCAACGATCCATCTACACATTTTCCCAAATTAGGCGTTGGGACAACGGCTGGTTTCCATTTTGAGCTTCCAAAGAGGTGTGCTCAACCCTGGAGATGAGCTTTCAGTGGAATCCTGTAGTATAGTTGTTAGAGCACTCGTCTCGCAAGCGAGAGGACCTGGATTCGATTCCTGGGCAGAGCGAAACGTTGGGCACGTTTCCTTATTCCACACGTCTTTGTTTACCTAGCAGAAAATAGGAAGCTGGTTGTTAGTCGATTGGCGAATCACTTTTCCGGGGATAATAATCCCTCAAAAAATAAATCAAATGCAATATCAAATGCAAGGATTATTATTATTATTAAAAGTAGCATGAGAGGAAACCCTGGATGTCAGTACCCCTTTCAGTGCAGGGTAGAAAGTGCCAACTTTTACCCAACATACCTGATTGCAGGGCTGGCTTGCGCAGCTTGTTTTAAATGCTGAATACAACCTATTACAAGGGCGCTGACAATTCCCAAACATCTAACTGTTAGTATGGCTGATGATCCTGGGCAATAGAGCTACTGATCCTTGCCGAATATGAATTCAATTATCGTTTACATGTGTACTTCAGAAGACTAATCTATAACAACCCAACTGAAATTAATGGGGTAGTATTCCACTTTCCTGTAATTATAAAAGAAGGAAATGTTCCTTTTCTCAAAGTTGGAGCTGAACTTTGAGTGCATTAAAACCCTATTAACATGCTCAGTGCGTGATGCCGAATGTCTGGAGGTAGCAAACTGACTGAGACGTACTGAAGCAATAGCATCAGTTATTGTGTGTGTAAAACGCAGCGTTGATGAATGGGCCACAGCTCCCCTGAAGTGATCCGAGGCCAACCAGATTCCCGAGCTGCCTCCTGAACAGGAATCCAAATATTTTCTTTGGCTGGAAATTAAATTTCGGAATCCTGTTTGACTTTTCCTAACTAATGTGTGCTTCGTTTAAGGACGTGTTTCTTTCCTCTCAGGATGGGTGTTCTACACTTTGAACGTTGAATGCCTTGCCCAGTGATGTGCCGAGGCTGGCTGCATGATTTCCAGTCTCTCCTCCGGATCTCTACTCAATTTGTCTAGGGCTGTGCCTATTCAGGGAGAGGGGAGAGCTGTGGAAATGAGCTGAGGAAGCAGCAATCTCTCAAACTTGATACACAGCTGGGATTGACTTTGGCAAAATCTCTTCCATCTTGGTCACAGTGAAGGATGGGGGGGTCAAAGCACCAGTAGATTTTAAGAACCTTGAAAGATCTACCAACGGGAGAGGGAAGAGAGAGGCAAAGTGTGAGAATTGTTTGACTTAGATGTGATGAAGAGATTTAAGATTCTATGCAAGCTTTTGAAAATGACTTAATATTTTTAGCGTTAAAATAACTTTTCATGATCACGTTTTTGCACTAAATAAACATTTTAAAAAGGAAGAGGCTTTTATAGTGGGACGTTAACCCTATCCCGATGTAAAAGATGGAATCGGACAATCTTATGAGCCCCATCCCTCTGTGTCAGTGAAAGATACGGTACTGTAAAAAGGAATTTTAAACCTGGCATTGATTGATCGATTTCCTTTATTGATCAAAGCAAATTTTGGGACATTGTAGGCTGAGAGAGAGCCACATGCACAAAGTCTCTGACAAGTAGCAAAGAACACGGAGCGGGGGGGTGGGGGAGAGGGTTTTCCCTGCCCACCTCCCCTCTTTTCATTCCAACCCTATATGGTTCTGCTCGAGTAATTGCCAATGAGTTGTGAATAATTAAATTGATTCTGCCGTAATGATTTTCTTTCGACATTGACATAAACAAAAGGGACAGGTCAGGGAATAGAGTGGAGCGCAGCAGGAACTCGAGCGCTCTGACCCCGGGAAAAGTTTGTCATTTAATTTGACCAAATGTAGTCCACGGTGGAACTCCAGCTGTCCCAAGGATACAGGGGCTGTAATAGTCTTCAGCGTGTAACATTCAGTTTAATTTAAAACAATGACACTTTTTGGACAAGGCATTAAAATTTGGGAGATGTGTCCATTCAGTCAGGAAAAAACCCCCCCACAAAGTAACATTTATGAATTGAGAAGTGTTCTTGTGTCAGATTGTCTTTCAGCTTGTGTAGGATTGTTCTGCTCACTGCCTTTGTACCGTACAATAGTGAAGGTGTAACACCCAGCATAATTCGTGTGCAAAAAGGGTAATTTTTAACGCTAACAATCTGAAATAATTAGCTGTTACATAGCTGTTATTTGTGAATGTCACCTTGTTTTTTCTGAGGGTGGAATAGGTGGACTGCCATTTAGGCTGTGCATAGCAATCTTGAGGCACAGGATCCATATGAAAGATTTCTAGTGCGAAGAGTTGGGAGGAGGAGTATGGATGGCTCCTTTGCAAAACACTTCACTGTAAATCCTATGAAACGCTTTGAGACGTTCTTCTGACATGAAAAGTGCTGTATCAAATGCAAGGATTGTTATTAGTTTGCT